GAGAGGAGAGGAGAGGAGAGGAGAGGAGAGGAGAGGAGAGGAGAGGAGAGGGGAGTAAAAACAAAGCACCTCACTATGCACACTTCTCTGCCTGGGGAAGGGAGTGACAGCGAAGCATGTGATGGATGTCAGTAACATTGCTTAATGCATTACTGGAAGGCATTCAAATCTGACAGTGCTGAGTGTGTTGGAGAACCCGGCACAGAGTAGAAGACATGAATAACTTTATATAGGTATTTAAACCATTATGACCACATCTTGATGGGTTGATATTTTTTGTGGTGGTTTGGCTTCACACATTTTGTTTGCATCCTGTTAGCTGAAAGCATCATTTTTAACGCTTATATTTTTTGTACTGTGCTCATCTCACTTGCTGTTCAAGGTTTCTTCTATTTTCTGTTACACTTCGAATTTTATCTTTGCAGTTCCATTTATTTTCCTGATATTTGCCTTCAGAGTTCATAGGATCTTCTCCCAAGAGACACGTGTATTGGTATTTTTTTACTTTTTATTTTACTACACATGGGCCTTTTCCTTTGGTGCTAGAGGTTTTGACCGAGTAAGAAAAGCGGGCAGTCCGCCTTGAGACACTGAAAGCAACGTGCCTTTGGAAGCAGAACTTGGGCTATTGATAAGGCTTTGTGCCTTCTGGAGAGATTCCTTTCAGACTTCCACATGCTTTGTCTATAGGTTGGGTTTTTTTAACCTTTTTTTTTCCTTTTTTTTTTTCTTTTCCCCCTAACTTCCATGACGGGCTTGGTTGCTGACTGATTGCACATGGACAGACTGGCCGCTTTTGAGGGGCGAGGAGGAATCAGTGACACTCGCCTAGATGCAGCCGGGCCTGGGGCAACAAAAGGGCACCGCATCAGCATGCGCCCCGCACTCAGCTGGCACCAGGGCCGTCAGGCAAAGAGCCAGTCGCTAGGCAGCCACGGAGCAGGGCTTCCTTCCCCCTCTGCCCAGGGCTCCCCATACGAAGCTTTCCTCCCCTCGGCTAAAGCCCGCGCCAACAAGGTGTGCTTAAGTTTGCTCACGGCTGGGGAATGTGATTTGCGCTCGAGCTGGGCAGGTTTCTGGGCTGAGTCTGCCTATTTAGGGTTTTTTTTGCCCCCCCCCCCTTTTTTTTTTTCTTTTTTACTTTTAGCCTGAGCTGAGAGACTGTTTTTCTCTCCCCTTTGCAAGCCTTGGGAAGCGTCAGAATGGCCCCGCTCCAGATGAGGCAGCTGTTCCCAAATACGCGCAGTGGGAAGAGTTTTCCCAACAATGGGAACCACATGAAAGCTGGCAGAGTGGCTCCTCCTACTATTGAAGAGCCCTTTCAGTTGAGCGGTTTGCATATTGGGTTGCATAAATGACTAGACACACCAAGGGGTCCATTTTCAGCACTGTGCGCGTAGGATTAGACACGCAAGCCTTGCTAACAATAATGAGAGTTGTGTGCAAAAGTCCCTGCGCAATATGCTGAAAATATTCTGCTCAGTGAATCTTCCAGCTCACGGCTATTTCCTGGCAGCGCTGAGCCGAGTTCTGGGAACAAAATGAAAGTCTGGGCTCTGTGTATGTTCACAGAGCTCTTTCCTATAGTTTCTGAAAGAATTTGAAAAGACTCTCTCTTCCCCTGCTTTTTTTTTTTTTTCCTTTTTACATCTGAAGTCCAAACACACTGCACATCCCACTTTTCCAACAGCAGTATTTGCGTTCAAAGAGTGGAGCATTGATTGCATGCGTCTGTGTATCTGGTTTCAGTGCTTAATGATTGTGCCAGCTTAGCTGGCATGTGAATATGCAAGTGAACACCTTGGGAAAGCTTTTCGGTTTGCAAATCTTGCATGCTGGCATTTTGGTAGCAAACTACAAATGTGGGCTGTGCTCTGTCACAGGGCCATGAGACTCTAGCAGTATTGAGGGAAGGGCTCTTCCAAGGTCATCTTTAGCCTGTCTTTCATTTTATAAGTCAAAATACTTAGCAGTATTTTCCCAGTGGAACTCTGCCAACCTTGTGCTAGGTTTTATACAAGAAGCAACCTGGTCCAGTGGATGGTCCAAGGACATGAGCATCTCTACACGAGGGTCTCTTCTAGGTGCTGCCTGCAATTCACTGGCCCCCCTTGAGTGAGAAGCTCGGTCTCTTTGTCTCCCATGTCTCTGTATCACCTCTCTCGCATATCCAGACTGTAAATTAATCAGGGAGGAAGAGCTTTAATGAGGCCTGGAACAACAAGTAATGCAAATATCTATTAGAAGAAATTAGAGTGAAAACTGTAACACGGTGGTTGATGTTCATATATGTTCGGGGCTAAATAGTCTCGTTCGCTTCAGTTCTTCATGGCACTCAGTCCAAAGAGAGAGTAACAACCAGAAAGTGCAGGAGTTGGCACAGGACCAGTTGAGATCTCCCTGTAGGTAGCCAGGAGAGAGGCCAGGCTGTTTTCGCTGTGTGCAGCACGCGTGGGCGTCTGCCTTCAAGCACAAAAGCTGCTTCAGATTGTGCTCATGACAGGAACACAGAGGGTTCACAGAGAGATTCACCCGCGTGCATTAAAATCACCGGCCCCTCTCCAGGGCTCAGATCAAGCCACGTGCAGCCAACCCTCGAGCAGGGCACCGCATCTCAAAGTGCACGCGCGGCAGCGCTGGCGAGGGCAGCGTTTCCCAACAGCCAAGTCACGGGTTTTGGAAGCTGTGTTGCCACGCGGCGAGCCGAGTTACAAAGCTCTAGCCTGGGTCCCAGCGCTGATTTGAGTTACAATTTCTTGTGAGCCCTCTATCCAGGTTGCAAAAGCCTTTGATTAATCCTGTGTGTACTGTCATGAAAGTGTTCCTTGCTAGTTAGGGCTTGCTTTGCTGGGGGAACGTGAAGGAGCTGTAGCAACAAAATCCTGTTTCTGCCAGTGCAGGCAGCCCGGCGAGCACTCGCAGCCTTCCTCTCCCCTGTGCATATCTGGCCTCAGATTTATCAGCTGCTCTATAATTCATGACTCAGAGATACTATTCCTGCTGAAAGCCAGGGCCGACTCCTGCACAGCTTTCCCTTCTGGGTTTATAGGCTTTTAGTTGCCTGTAGCAAAGAAAGCGCCGTGACTTAACGTTTCTTTTTCTTTCAGTCCTAGGGAAAATTCGAACCGCAGTGGGCAGTGCCCAGCTTCTCATGGCCCAGAAATTTTACCAGTTCAGAGAACTTTGCGAAGAAAACCTGGTATGTAACGTTTTCTGTTAGTCACTGTTGTGTACCTTTTACTAACTAGGGAACTGTGCCCTCAATAATCATATTTAAATGAGACCAAGCTTTTCTGATTAACAGGGTCAGCAGCTTCGTCTGATAAAAAGATTTTATATGACTTTGGGAATTATTCTCTTAAACGTGGTGGAGTTAGTGTGAGTGTCCAAAAAGCATGAGACATGTAAACTAAGGAAAAGAGATAATCTTTGGGTGAAACATGACTGAAATTTTGCTGCTGATTTCAGAGGAGCGGGGATTTGGCCCTTGGCCTCTCAGTTCAGCTCACACAGACACCAAGGTGTTCGGGTGCCTTCTTGAGGTCTTCTGGGGAGAGACTAGAAGAGAGAAGAAGAGAGACTAGAAATCTTATGAGCGGGGCTTTCCCATCTAATCCCAGTGATGCCTGTACATAGTGAGACAGGAATGCCAGGAAATAAACACTTAGCTTTGATGCCTCATGCCCCCAAAGCAGAACAGCGCAAGAGAAAAAAGTAATTTTTCAGAGCTGGAGAAAGGCAAAGAGACAAAAAGTCAACATGTTATGATCATTATGATTGCATGTAATTGATATATTTGATTATTATTGTTATTTGTTATTATTATACTGTAAGTAGTAATAGAATCTGAATGATATTCCTCACGATAAATGAAAATACATTTTGCACTCTGTATGTAAAGAAGTGGTATCTAAAATGCCAGCATGTTCAAAACTTTCAAGCAAAGCTTTTAATTAACAACCCCTCTATCCGTGTAGACAGGATCTATCCGCTCAGTTCTCATTCTGGGCAAACACCCCACGAAGCCCCAGAAGTAGGGATAGTTACGCTCCATCATCACGAACTAGGGGAGGAAGGGCCAGCCCGGTGCGACTCACACAGCACTGTTACCCTGCCTTCTTAACAAGACCAAGGAGGCTGTGCCTGGACTACTGTGGCATTTGCACTGATTCAGAAGCTCAGACTTAGAAAAAGACTTTTTCAGTTATGCCAAGCTGATGCAATGGGACATTTGCATGACATCAGCTTTCAACATCTGATCCAGTTCTCAGTGAAAGCCTTAATAATCCCTCCGCTCTGTTGAGTGGAATCTGGGTAGAGGCTGGGACAAAACCATGACTGCTGGAAGGAGTTGGAGGCCTCCTTCTTAGAAGCTGGAGCCCAGTGGGATGACTGTTTATCTACTCCAGTGAATGCATTTCTGAAAATCAACCTAAAATCTAAACTAAGCCCCCAAATTAAAATCTGCTTGAATGGGCAGATGCAGCAGAATCAGCTCTGGCTGCATGAGCCCTGCCTGTTCTTTAATATGAAAACCGAAAAAGCCTTCTGTTTGTGTGTGTTGTAAATAAAAGCCTATAACTGGGCAACCTGCTAGCCTCAAGGACTAGAGAGCTGGACAACTCAGATATGCTCTCCCTCTCCTTATGAATTTAAAAACACATATGTTGGAGTTTTCTACAGTTACTGCTCTGGTGGTACCATCGTCCTATCAAAATCACCCGTCAGTGCCGCTGTGGAAAGCACAAACAGAAATTTCTGAGAGCAAAGAACCAGCTCTTCGAGGTTTATTATTTGTAGTGAGGGAAGAAACTTCCTCACTACCCCTCGGAAGTGTAAAACCAAGCCATATAAAACCACCTGCAGGGATTTCGAGATAATTTATTCATTCTTTATCAAAATCAGGGCATCAGTGCAGTGCTAGGAGGCCCAAGCACCCATGAAAGCCGTGCCCAGCACACGGTGCCTGTGGGAGCGTGGTTCCTGCTGCTGCAGGGAGCTCGGCAGAGCTTCTCGCCGCCCAAAGAGTTTTCTCACCCACGGGCAGGAGGCCGCTGCCCTCAGGAGCGTGACAGGCATTTTCTCTTGAAACGCTGCGTGGGCCCTGGGAGTTTCAGTGTGTGCAAAAATACCCACTCACGCATCAGTGTGCCCCTGTTTGCAGCAAATGCACATTTGCAGGGGTTGCAGGCCTCCTCCACGTGTCAGTGTAGCAGGGAATCCTGTCTCGTGAAAGCAAGGAGGAGGCCGGCAAGCTGTTGCCTTGTACTCCGGAGCTCACCCCTGAACCCCCGGCTGTGCCAGGGAATGGGCTTTGGCCCCTGGCAAAAACAGCCAGGGGAAGGGAGTGCTCCTCGCCTTGGCTTCCCCGAATTCCCGCTCTGTGTCTCGCTGATCCTTTGGATCTGCTGAAAATGCCTTGCTAGCAGGATTCGTAACCGGTTGCACAAATGCTTTGCATTAAGAGGTACTAAAGCCAAACTTTTTTACTATTATTATTTGTTTGTTTTTCCTTCTGTTGTACAGAATCCTAATGCACATCCACGGCCGACCTCCCAGGATTTAGCAGGGTTTTGGGATATGCTGCAGTTGTCCATAGAAAACATTAGTATGAAATTTGATGAACTTCATCAGTTAAAGGCCAATAATTGGAAACAGATGGATCCTCATGACAAGAAGGTAGAACATTGTAGATTTTGTATGCTTCATTTAAAACCCTGCACAAATACTGGACAAATTAAATAGGCCTCTGTGTTACAGCGCTGACGTTAAAAATGTGAAATGAAGCTCATATCAAATTAATTTCATTGTAATGACAATGTTTACATAATAATCATCTGGGATATTATCTGTAATATGTTTCAGGCATATTTTTAAACCAAATCTGTCTTTGTGAATCGGATACTGGGAATGTGGTTCTTTGTTAAGCTTTACATTTAATCCTATTAGATGATCAATCGTTGGAAGGAACTGCCTTATATATTGGTTCTTAAAATTAAATAAATCACATTTACGGTTCATATTATTGCATATAGCAAGAGTTCTAGGTTGTGTTACTGAAAAAAAAAAAAACCTAGGGAAGTACTGGAATCATCGCTGACTTTGGTAACCATATTATCAATGGAGCGATATCAAAAATATGCCTTCTAAAATGTTACATGAGACAATCTCACATCTTTTTCTGTTTGTTTGTTAGTTTTTTTGTTTGTTTGTTTGTTTGTTTGTTTGTTTTCAGTGGGTGATTTCATTAGCAGGTCTACTTCGCTGGTAGGGCTCTTTACCCAAGGTAGCAGAAGAATCATCTGGTCTTTATTTTATTTCTTTTTTTTTCTTAATGTGGTCTTCTCCTGTCACCATTTTAAACTCCTGCATCTCAAGTGTGAGCCACATTTCACTTTCCATCCCATCTGGCACCATTGCCGTATTTTCCTCCTCCCTGTCCACCTCGAGACAAACAGCAGCTGCGTGAGCCAAACCACTCAAACGCTTCAGGAAAGATCTAGAAGACAGACCCATTCCTAGAGGAACCAAAGGTCTCACGCCCTGCCGTGCTCCTAGAAGCATTTATTTTGACGGCTGCGTTTCCATTAGTCTCCCTGTGACGCGTCTGAGACCGATGAATGTAGGAAACGGGTAGGGATGGCAGGAGGTGGGGAAACGGGATTCGCAGATTCTGTGGTGCAGGCGGGGGTCTGGGCTGCCCCTGCTTCTGGGCAGCTGGGGTTCAGCTGGCGACCGAAGTGGCGTTTTCCCTCGGACAGTGCTGGTGTCGACCGCCCTTAATCCTGCAGCAGGGAGTCTGCAAAGGCAGCGCGGGTAGCAGCCTCTCTCCTCCCATCAGGACTAAAGGCTCGTTCCCAAATTGGGAATGCCGTGTTCACACCGTTTGTGCCCACCTAGTGTTTGATAGGGGAGTGAATGGGAATGTGTTTTCCTAGCACAGGAGGCTGAAGGCAAGTCTGTTCTTCTTTTTTTTTGTTTTTTTCTTTTTTTCGTTTCCAGTATATGTCAAAAAAAGGAAGTTAAAAACTTCAAACCTGCAGGCACAGAAATGCTGATACATGATCTTTCATTAGTTTATAAAGTCAAATGGGCGGCTCAAGTGTTTTTAATACTAGCAGCAAGAAATAAGAGTTTTACTGAAAAAACATGTGCCTTTTATTTGCTTCTGAAAACATTTCAGAGCTTCCAACAACAAAATAAAGAGTATAACGGGCTAAAGGAAGTTAAGTAGTACTGAGGAAAGGGTCATATGTGACCTACAGTAGGTAGGTAAAGACTGTTCATTTAAAAAACAAAATACAATGACTTTGTTCCTCATTCAGTGAGCATTTGTCTGTGATTTTAAATGGAACAGATCATCTCCTTTCTTGAAAGCAAAACGAAAAGAAAAACTTTCTGTAGAACTGATATTTGCAATTGCCTTTGGCTTTTCCCGTTGAGTCCCTTTATAAGCAGCATAGATTAATCCTTGGCTGAAGAGAAAAAGCAAAGTATGAATAAGTGTAACTAAGCACCTTTATATTTTGAGCAATGGAAGCTGTTGTGACCAGCATGAGAGCAAACGAGAGGGTAGAATGGGATCTTTGTAGTGCGATAAAATCCCTTCGCCCAGAAACCGTGTTCACAGTTGGAAGGGGATGTAACTTCAAAGACAATCTAATTAACTTGACAAAGTCTTTGTGGCTGCCTGAAATTCAGACCTGAATACACTTTTCTTTTCGGAAGGGATCCTTCTCTGATTTTCTTTTTTCTTTTTTTTTTCATTTTTTCCAATGTGCATACAACGGGATATGTCCTTGTTGATCATGTAACTGGAGCTGCCAACGTGATGCCGAATGCATGTTCTCTGAATGGTTTCTTAAATTTTTCCTACCGGAATTTCAATTTATAGCTGACTGTAGCTTGCCAAGTGTACTGGCCACAAGGCTAGAGTTTATGAGCTTACGCAGTGAGACGCCAAAGCATGCAACCCTTGCGCAGTCACTGAGTCCGGCCACTGCAAAAATACATAGATATATGTATTTTTTTTTCCTCCGGATGCAGCAACACCAGGCAGCTAGTCCACATCTGCATTTGGGAATGTGCAACCCATGATACCTCAGTGTCGTGAGACCATCTAGTGTTCTGTATGTGTTGTTCTTCCAGGGCCGAGGCGATCAGTGTGTGTGTTTCAGTGCCGTCACGGCAGGTCTCTGCTGCATGAGATCCACGTGGGCGCGAGGCTTGCGGGGCGCCCTGGAGCCCCACGCGGGCCCTGTTGGCTCGTGCCAGCTTGTGTCCAAGATGCTCTCCTTCCCAGCCCTTTCCTTTAACCTTACGTTGTTTTTTATGAACCCTTGAATGCAAAAGCCAGTTCCCTGAAGACAAAAAAAAGGGCAGATAGGAGCTAACAAACAGTAGGTAAAAATGTGTGTTCTAACTACTGACGTATCCTAGTTTTTCCCGCCTTTCCCTGAGAAGCTGTATAATGTCATTAACCTTCTGCTTTGATCAGGAGAGAAGGGTCCCTCCTCCAGTGCCAAAGAAGCCATCGAAAGGTCAGGTGCCACTCATACGAGAACGCTCTCTGGAAAGCTCTCAGCGTCAAGAGGCCCGGAAACGGCTGATGGCCGCCAAGCGCGCTGCGTCCGTCCGGCAGAACTCGGCTACCGAGAGCGCCGAAAGCATTGAGATATACATCCCCGAAGCCCAGACCAGGCTATGAAGGGATCCACCCAGGAGGACTCTCACTGGCAAGACAAGTCTCATGTATAATCTGCCCCTCTAGGTTCCTGCTCAAGGTCACCACCGAGTATTTGTACCTCCTGCCTCTCTCGCGCGCCCTCTCCCTCTCTCCCCCTCTTCCCGCTCCCGGTGACCCCATAAATTCCACTTCCGTGGTGTAGTTGTCAACCCTCCAAGAGATGTCCTCTACTAACCCCTTGCTTCCTAAAGGTTTGCCCATATCATCATGATGCTTTGCCACATGTACTGATGCTGCCACTTTGCCTCATGTAAAAGAGTACAATCCTTTTTCTGTTTGAAACAAATAAACAAGGCTCTCCGACTTCCATACACACACACACACACACACACACACACACCCCTGTACAGTAGATGCTCCGTTTAACTTATTCATGGTCTTTAGTTGATCTAAAGCTAGTCTGTTACCTAGTGTACAGCAATATCAAACCGTAGGGGATTTTGGAAATTTCAGTCATGCAGGGTGATCCTTTTGGACTCTGCCGTCTTCCTCATAAAAGATGAAAGGAGCTATGACTCGGATTCCCTTCTTTTTATTACTTTTTTTGTTTGTTTGTTTGTTTTTTTAAAGCAGATGGCGCACTTTATTCTAGACCTCTGAATCACACCTTCTCACCTGAATTTAGGGAGTCACAAAGGGAGGGTTTGGGGTGGGAGCTACGGGGAGGTGGGAGGGTAAAAACACAGACCTACGTGGTGAAAAAGAGGAAGTATATCCCGCAGGTGAGATATGGTGAGGGATAGACAAGATCTGGTGGAGAGATACCTGCACACTCACAGCTGCACAAACTGCCTCATTTTTATTTCATCAATCACGACTTAAGCATTTCAATCAGCAGAAGATTGTAAATTCGATCTTCCAGGGAAATAATCTATTTTGAAAGGCAATAAAAGAGCAAAAAGGATGGAGATAAGAAGCAATGACAGTTGAAGATAATGTAAGAGAAGGATTTTCTTGTCCAAGTAGTAAGAATTTTTAAAATTGTACTGTATTGTCAATTCCTCTTGTATTGTATTGTATGGATTATATTGGTTAAAAAAGAAAAAAGAAAAAAAAGCTTGGTATCGTTGATGTCTTAATCTTGGCGGGCCTATCCCACGTCCCGGCACCCACCGCCACACAGGGACGCCTGTAACCGAAATGCTGCCGGCGGGCCCCGCGAGGCGGTTGCAGGCGAGCCTCCCTTTGCCCTACACACAGCCGGCCAGAGCGGTTGTCACCACGCAGCTCCCGCCTAGGGGTAAGTTCCTACTTCAGCTTCCTCCTAACAATCAAAAAACCCCATCCGAACAAGAGCGGCCGAGTGCTTTCCACCAGTTACGGGCTCAAGGCGAACTCAGCTTTTTGTCCCATTGCAAACTTCCCTGCCCACCCTGGCTTCTGCCCTTGCTTTGCCACCATCAGAAATGCGCATCTCAAGCAGCTCCTCAATCCCGGGGGGGTAATCGCATCTGACGGGGCTGGAGCGGCTGGTGAGAGGTCCCCCCGCAGGGGCGACCACGGCCACCACGTGCCAGCACAGGGAAAGCCGCCGCCGGCGGGCTCCGCAGTCCGGTTGCGCGCGGGCACGCGTTCCCGCTGGCGCGAGCACGGATCTGCACGGAGCTGCTGGGGCCGCGGGAGCGCCCCGGGAGGAGAGGCGCCCCCGGATGGGGACGCGTGTGTGATGCCAGCGCGGGGCTTCCTGCAGACGCCCTTAGCAGCTCGCGGGGCACGCACGGGCCCGCGGTGCCGCGCGGCACGGCGCTGCCCCTCGCGTTGACAAAGCGGTCGGGGCTGCCATCGGAAGGCCACGCTCTTGCTAGAGCCGCTCATCAAGAGCACGCCAAACAGCTGCTTTTCCTACAACATCATGGCCAGGTGCTAATTTGGTTTCTGTTCAAGAAAACAGGAGAGGTAATAGGTTCTGGCACCAAGTATTTTCATGGGAGCGTACTAAAACCACTAGAGAATTTGCTACCTCTCAAAGCCATCGATATCTGAGCTATGTCTTTATAAACAGGGCACAAATATTTACTGCTGTGGTTTACAAGATAAGGGCTAATAATTTAATATATAAAAGACTTTTAACTAGAGTAACCAGAAATCCAGTGTAACCCTTGAGTGCTTTTGTGTTACAGGAGCTTTGAAAGGTCTGACCCGCTAAGCATTTGAATACCGGTGTGTTTGCTAGTTTTCCAAAACTTCCTTTAACTTTTAGCAGCAATGAAAGATCACAGTGTTTGCAGTATGTAATAGTGCCAACTGCCACTTTTGAGCATTTTGTCCTGTTAAGTATTAATTATATGGAAATCATTTGTACTGAACCATACAAAGCGGCATCCAGGTGAGAATCCACGTTCAAAACTCTTCCAGATTGTTTGCTTTTGTGAACATTTTATGAAAGATGAGTTAAGATTGTGGTTGACGAGTGGCTACAGCAATTTATCTCTAGCAAACTCAAAAAAAAAAAAAGAGTATTTTGTCTTGTATGTTATGAATTACTGTATTTGTATATCATAAAATATTTTTCGTACATATTTTAAATGAATCTATTCTTAGCTGAATGCTTGTTAGTTCATTTGGCTCTGGAGAGAGTATTATGGAGTCTGCTTAGCTTTTTAGCAAAACCTGAAAGGTAGACCCAGGACCAGTAAACTTAAAATAAAATCCTGTACTTCTGCCCCTAAAATGCCACTAGTTAACCACTTCACTCATTTACCAACACTAATACTGCTATATTTGCTCTAACATTTGTTTTGATATAATCTGTAACAACCTGCCCAGTGTAAATTAAAAAATGCCTATATTCTGTTTTACTTTGCTACAATTGTGTTGTTCTTTTTTGGGGGGGAGGGAAGGGGAAATTTTAGAAAAAGTTGCTTCAGTCTCCTGCTTCAAAAGTTTAAAAAAAAAAAAGTATTATATTTTTTGCAGATGTTTCCATAAAATCCTCATAATCTTTTTGTAAAGAAAGATGAAGAAATGGTTTAAAGATTTTTAATATTTGAAAAGGTAAATAGAAATAATTTATTTGTAATATATTTCAGTTTATTTATTGATGTTCCCTTAGTGTTTTGATGTGCACTATCACTTTATTTTAAACTGTACTTTTGTGATTTATTGTTTCTTTTTTTAAGTAACTGGAATGTAAATCACTGGCTTACCTGCATTCCCAAAAGTAATTTTAAAACTGCCTTTTTTTATTTTATTTGAAACAAAAGACACACATTTGAAAGCCTTTAGACAGAGGAGAGTGTTTATATGGCTAATGATTTGGGTTTTCATAGGGTTATCTACATCTAGTTCGTGTGTGGACAGGAAAATGTAAATAGATGAATGTTTCCCATAATGTAAAAAAGAGCAAATTAATAAAATAATTAATGCACTGCTTCTAAGAGCTGTGGCTTTTCAATGCAAATTTATTCTCCCAGAACTGTAGAAAAGTGCTTCGTTTTGATGTGGTCCGGGAGGAGAGCGCAGCAAGCAGCGTGCTTCCCTTCAGCTCTCGTTGCGTGAGCTGTGAGAGGATGACACAAGCTGAGTGACTTCAAAAGACACAAGGAAAGAGAAACCCCAAGTGTGTTTATTTCTCACCGCACTAGTTCCCTTAATGCTGTGCTCATCGCTGGTGATGGCTGAGACGTGGTGGGTTAAACAGCGCCCTGGCAGGGATAACTGACTTTCCCCTCACTGCGCTCCTGGATTTTTCCCAGTGTGCTCAATAAAGAAGCCTCCTAATCCTGCAGTAATATTTCCCTGCTGATCTTGTTCA